CCGAATTTGGATTCGGACGCGCAAATTAAGCTGCTTTTGGATCGACCCGACAACCTGGCAGCTGCATTACACGCCCTCGAACGGAAATCAGGAGGTCGGCCAGGCGCGGGACACCCTCGAGGGTAAGGGGCGTCCCTCGCACCCGTGGCTTTTCGTCGGTACCCGCACCCGTACCCGAGCCAAGGGTTCTGGGAATTTGGCGGCCCCTCACCCTTACCCTCCCGAGGGTTTCGCGGGTTCTCGGGTCGGCCCCTCGCCCTTGTGTGGCCCTGGTGCCTCGTCCGTCCCTGTAACAAAGGCCAAGGCAATACTCCGCATCGGTATCGCCTTGATCCGCCGAGAGCGCGTAGTACCGGATAGATTCTTCAAATTTCTTCTCAGATTCAAGTAAAACCCCTAAATCGAATTGCGCGACCGCGTCGCCTCGGTCTGCGGCCGCGCGATACAGTTTCATCGCCTTCTTCTTGTCCAGCTTGACGCCACTTCCGTTCTCGTACAATAATCCAAGGTGTATCATCGCGTCCACGTTGCCGAGCTCCACGGCGCGCCGGTAAATCTTCGCGGCTTTCTTTTCGGATTTCACGAGACCGTAGCGACCGCGGCGGTACGCATCTCCCAAACACGTAATCGCTTCCGGCACTTCGTTCTCCACGTGGCGGCGAAGGCGCGCGAGGCGTTCCGCGTGGGTCTTTGCGCACGGTATGCGACAGAGGGGACACGCGTCGAAGCCGATCTTGCGCTCGCACGATCGGCAGACCTTTCGGCAGCAACAGACGCGAAACACGCCCGAGTCATTCACGTCCCACTCCTCGAGACAGATCGGGCACCGTGACCCGTACCGCGCCGACAGCGGCTCGGGCTCCGGGTTCGCCTCCCGCAGGGCACGAGCAGCTTCGTGCTCCGCCGCGATGCGCGCGCGGACCTCGTCGGCGTGCGACCGCGGCGCGGGGCCGTAGAACACGTCCCGCGGCGGCGACGGCGGGGGCGTCGGCGCCTCGGCCCGCGCCGCCGCCGCGGCCTGGATCTTCTTGCATACCTTCCGGTGGCCCCGGTCGCGCCAGTCGATGCGTTGGCAGTCCGTCGAACAGTAGGCCGTCGTGCCGCACCCTTTACAGGGCCGGGCATCCTTCTTCCCGCAAATCGTGCATATGTTGAGCGCCAGCTTTGTACGAGTTTTTCGCGCCTCGTACTCTCGCTTCTTCTTGATCAGTTCCGGGTCCATGATCTCTTCCACGCTCGTCGCCTCACTCGTCTTACACTCACTCGCACTCGCAACAGGCAAAATCCCGATGTTCTCTCCCCCTTCGGTCCTTCCCTGCGCCGCGGCTAAGCAAAATCCCGATCGTGCTCCCGCTCCCCGCTCCACTACCCTAGCCCTTCCCTTTGATCCTCCCTCCCTTCGGTTCCTCCCTGCGCCGCGGCTAAGCAAAATCGCTCGACGACGGCGGCAGTAGCGGAGACGACGGCGACGAGATGCGCTTTCTCGGTGACGTGGGTGGCGATGTGGCGCCGGCGACGGCCTCTTCGGAGGAGCTGCGCTGGGTCACATGGCCGCTGGCTTAGGCGTGGTATGGGGCACTAGGCCGATCCTCCCGATCGTGCTCCTCGCTCCACTACCCTAGCCCTTCCCTTTGGTCCTCCCTCCCTTCGATCCC